GGATCCTCGATGATGTGCAGCACGATCACCCGAGGATGATCTGGGCTTGGCCACCATGGCAACATGCCAGGCAGTGCGTCTATTTGGGCCGCATTATTGTGACATTCAACGAGATGATATGAAAACACGACGAACAAGAGAAGAAGCTCAAAAAATTCATAAAAAGCATGGGTATTTGAACTGAAGTTTGAGGATGGAGGAGAAGAAGGATTGCATTGCACAATTATCTAAGATTATCCGGCCACTCGGGTATGTAGTAGCGTCGAATTGAGCCTTCCAAGAGACGATCCAACCAGTTTGGAAATCCATTCAGCACGTTCTCTACGCTGACAGGGTTACCATTACGACGAATCATGGAGTCCTGGAAAATTTACAGCGTCTTTCTATACATGCGATTATACGCTAAAAAACCAAAGCTGCATCACTTTGAAGCTTTTCAGAATATAACAATGACTAATTTCCATAGAGAAAAGTCCTCACATCTTCCGCAGTGGCGTTATCGCTGTCTGTGTCGCTACTGATTTCGTCGTCATCGTCGAATCCCAGAAAATGATGACTTGGCTTCTTCTTGCCAGCCGTATGCATAGGATGGTAGATGGAAAAGTATAATTTCCAGCCGCAAAGTGCCAGCACTGTTCCGACGGTTTGACGAGGGTTAATTGACTGAAAGGAGGCTCAAAATTGGCAACTTGAAGCTCTACAGATACCGTAATCACACTTAAAGCCATATTACAATACAATTAAAGTGATAATAACCTCAGAAAATCTGAGTCCGTCTAGACTTTACTCAATAAACAAGAGTGGCGATTCTAAGGAAAAGAAATTCTAATGAAAAAATAGGAAAAAAAGACTAGAAAAGAAGTAGAGGTCTGATAGAAAAGAGACGAGCGTTGCAAAATGAAAACGTGCTTAGACAAAAAAGAAATCACGCAAAGAGCCTTTACCTTCAGTTTTGCATACAGTGACATAGCCCCATCCTTGGGACCTGCGTTTTCCCCAATCGGAAGTGTGTGCTCAAGGAGCTTACGGAACCATGGCAGATTCTTCTCAACCATAAGGAAACCAAATGAGAAGGTTTTATTGCTGGAAAGCAGTCACTTAGGACTCTAATTATGAAGATATAGAAAAAACACAGAAAACCATAAAAGTGCACATTTTTGTGTAAGCAAATGGAAGTCACTTACTTCCTTAGCGGTAGTATATACTGAGCAAACTGCATCATGAGCTTCTCCTTGCTCTGTTCATCGACGAGAAGGATCAGGGAGCGACATCCTGGCTTGAGCAAACGAATCATACCAAAGTAGCTTTCGGCCCGTAGCTCATGTATGTGCGGGTTCATAATGGATAGAGCCCTGGAAAGATTCTTTCAAGAGAGAATCAATTCCATATATATCAAAGCACGCACCGCTGCAGCCTGGCCTGAGGATTCGGCTTGGCAGGTGGCTCCGTCTTAGCGTGTGGATCTTCCGGATGCCATTCTTCCGCATTATGGTGCTTGGGTTTCTCCTCAAACCAAAGCTACTGTATTTTATGAGGGTTTAGATTCAAATTACCCACCTTTTTCGGTCTCGACTCCTGATTCATGTAATTCAACCCGTATCCAATGACTAGAATGACTAGGAAAGTGGCGACAGCTGACAAGACAGGATAAGCTTCTTCCTTGGTCAGGTGGAACCACGCGGCTTGCACCATTCGCACCAATGCGCGACACATTCGCGTCCACCACGAGGGTGCATACTCGTTTATCTAAAACTTGTCCTTATTCAGTTGTCAGTTTTCGATGCGGAGTCTTACCATGTTGCCCACAGGTGCAGTTTGATCCAATCGTGTTGCCTGCGAGATTACGGAACCCA